ACAACGATATCTAGTCGAGTGTCGTTGTTGAAATCACCAACAACTACAGATGATGGACCAGAGCCAGCTGAATACCTTGTTTCATTTTCAAAAGAACCATTTCCATTTCCAAGAAAGACACTTACATCACTGCTACCTGAATTGGCGACAACGATATCTAGTCGAGTGTCGTTGTTGAAATCACCAACAACTACAGATATTGGATAAGAGCCAACTGAATACCTTGTTTCATTTTCAAAAGAACCATTTCCATTTCCAAGAAGGACACTTACATCATTGCTATTCCAATTGGCGACAACGATATCTAGTCGAGTGTCGTTGTTGAAATCACCAACAACTACAGATCGTGGATAAGAGCCAACTGAATACCTTGTTTCATTTTCAAAAGAACCATTTCCATTTCCAAGAAGGATACTCACATCATTGCTACCATAATTGGCGACAACGATATCTAGTCGAGTGTCGCTGTTGAAATCACCAACAACTACAGATTCTGAATCAGAGCCAGCTGAATACCTTATTTGTTTTTCAAAAGAACCATGATTGTACGCAACAAAGATGTCAACATGATTACTTCCACCGTTAGCGATCATGATCTCCGATCGTTTGTCATTATTAAAATCACCAGAAGCCATCACGAACGGAGGTGAGTCAAAACCAATTTCATAACTTGTTTGAATTGTAAATTTTCCGTTCCCATTTCCAAGCATCAGATCTGCATGCTTGGTACCATTATTGGCTAAAGCAATATCCACTAAGCGGTCACCATTGAAGTCCCCAACCGCGATGGAAATCGGATGAGAATTCGCACCAGCACTGAGCATCATTTGGTTTTCAAAACTCCCATTCCCATATCCCACAAGGACGCCGATATTATTAGTGCCATAATTAGCTAAGACAATATCCAGATTAGTATCGTTGTTCAAATCCCCAATCACTACGCATTGTAGGCTAGATCCACCGCCAGATGCATACGACATTTTATATGCCATCGCTCCTCTATTATATTGCAGCAGGGCACTCACATCATTGCTACCTGCATTGGCGACAACGATATCTAGTCGAGTGTCGTTGTTGAAATCACCAACAACTACAGATTGTAGATAAGAGCCAGCTGAATACCTTGTTTCATTTTCAAAAGAACCATTTCCATTTCCAAGAAGGACACTCACATCATTGCTACGCCAATTGGCGACAACGATATCTAGTCGAGTGTCGTTGTTGAAATCACCAACAACTACAGATATTGGATCAGAACCAACTGAATACCTTGTTTCATTTTCAAAAGAACCATTTCCATTTCCAAGAAGGATACTCACATCATTGCTATCCCAATTGGCGACAACGATATCTAGTCGAGTGTCGTTGTTGAAATCACCAACAACTACAGGTATTGGATAAGAGCCAACTGAATACCTTGTTTGTTTTTCAAAAGAACCATTTCCATTTCCAAGAAAGACACTCACATCATTGCTACCCCCATTGGCGACAACGATATCTAGTCGAGTGTCGTTGTTGAAATCACCAACAACTAGAGATCGTGGAGAAGTGCCAGCTGAATACCTTGTTTGATTTTCAAAAGAACCATTTCCATTTCCAAGAAGGACACTCACATCATTGCTATATGCATTGGCGACAACGATATCTAGTCGAGTGTCGTTGTTGAAATCACCAACAACTAC